GGGTTAATCTTGAAGGAGATCGACTTCAGCACCAAGTCGAGGTCCTCGCGATAACGCGTGCTGTAGTTGACGAATTCCAGGGAGCCCTCGGGCCACTGCGGCGGAGGCTTCTTCTCGTCAACCTCCCAGGGGGCCTAGAAACAGTTTCGAATGAAAAAAAACCTGTCGAATAGGGACCCCAATAGCACACGTGCACATCGAATATCGGCTGATTGGCCAAGCTAGTCAGGCTTTCTGAGCTTATCGAAGTGAGGGACGTTATACGTCCGTACTGTAGCCACTTCGTGAGGTTCCACTGCCTCTACATCCTGCAGCGCCCTCTCCAACATGCCTTGACAAGTTACATGCAAAATAGAACTGATTTTTGGAGCAAAACAGAAGAACCAACAGCGTGTTATTGGTGTGTGGTGCGTGCGAAAATCACAACAAACAAAACTTGTTCTTACAGAAACTAAAACTTACAGGTAATGAAAAGCTAAATGTAAAAGAAAATCCAAAATTTCATTGTTTGACTGTCGAATGGAAGCTAATTCTGTAAAACGCCTTGGTCTTTATTTCTGCAAATTCGGCGTGGCGTCGCACACACCAGTACTCTTTATCTTCATACGCTTCAAATACCACTTGCCTGCTAGTGATTTTTTTGGAAATGATTAAGGCAGATTGTGATCACGTGATCATGATCATCCTCACACCCACCTCTCCCTTTCTTAGCCCTCCCACACCTCTGCGGACCCGTTTGACCTTACGTCCCAGTGCATGTGCCTGCCCCGCTACCTGTTTCACTCTTCCCGTCATTCAGGCATTTTACTTTTATCAATTCACTTTTGCTTTCTTGGTCAGCAAACTACGTTGGTTACGCACGACTTAACGCGATGCCACAACACATTTGGAACAAACAAAAAATTCATTTTTGGCGGCTAAACGGAAGAACACCCAAGCTCTTGGTCATGACACAGCAGCAAAACACTTACCTCAGTCGGCAACTCAGAATATTCTTTGATCCTCTCAACAGAGACGATGTTTGTCTCGAACTCGGTGGACACGCGAACAAACCAGCTGAGACCCTGAGTGATATTGAGGGCGAAGCTAATCACCAGACCCGCGAAACCGGCTGCAAGAACATCTCGCATCACGACAAATGCGATGGAAACCGACAAGGTCAGCAGGTTGCCCACTGTCTCCAGGATCATCGACAGCCAGCTGAAATGAGACAAGTTAGGACCGTTCAATAACTTGAGACACTATTGTAATCACCACTAACGACATAATGAAGCATAGCCTTCTCCCCAGATCAGCTCTGATCATGACCTCGTCCCATGGAAATGAGACCGTGCTTAGTTGATTTTGAAGAACTTCTGTCAGTTCATTGCAAGTTGATCAAAGCAGTTTTCACTGGTTGCCCTGTGCGCCTCTTCAGTTTTTTTGTCGTAACAAAAAATGAACAAGCAAGTCGAAAGTGTTTGCTGTATAATTCCATGTTAAAATTTAACCAAAAAACTACTTTAATTAATTTCCAATGCACTGACAGAAGTTCTTCGAAATCAACTAGGCACCAATTTATTTCCATGGCAAGCGGTCATTATCAGAGCTGATCTAGGGAGTAGGCTATGCTTTATGCTGTCGTTTTGCTTGTTCATTTTTGTAGAGACAAGAAAGCTGCAGAGGCACGTAGGGCAACCAGGGAAGTTTGTTGTGCTGTCTGCTTATCGGAACACGTGCGTCGCAATTGGTTTAACAAAGTTCCCACTCGAGGTTTTCTGCTCAATGCTGATCTAAAGTAACTCTGGTGACCTAGTGATGTTGGCTACGATTAAATCAAAGCCACTCTAAAATGATTCATAGTGAAAGATGGGTCATCCACTTCAGCATCAGCCATTGTCGATGAAGGTGTCGATTGCCAAAAGATGACAAAAGATCTTCACAAGAAATCAACAATTAATAATCCACCGAATGTGATCCTCAAGTGGGTTTTATATCACACCACGAGACTGAAGCTGCTCTCTTGGCCACTTCGAATGACGCAATCCCCGATAAGGAATGGTGAAAACTCTCACCGGTTGGCGATGAGAGTGGAGAAGTAGGCGCGGTTGTTGGTGTCCACCCTGTCGTCGCTGGTTTGGACAAACAAACTGCACTGCCTGTAGGCCCTGATT